TGTGTCCCCATTTCCCATGGTAATATGGCTAATGTGTTTATTTATTATTTGTGGAGCAATTTAAATTTGTGTTATCCATCTTTTTTTCAAGATTTAAATGAAGCTAAGTGCAAGTTCTTTCAGGAAGACATGGTGTATATACATTCACTCCGCAGCTGCTTATAATCAGCTCATCACAGGTGTTCTCTTTAACCTATTATATTTCACCTCATTCTCCAGCAGCCAATCACCGTGCTGCAGCCAAACTATAAAATGGTTCTCCTCTCTCCTTCAGTCAGCTGTGATTTCAGGTGTTCATGCACCTTATCATATGGTGTCAATAAATGTTCAAACTAAATGAATTCTCTCCTGATTGAAACATCATGTGTTGAAATAAACAACTGCAGTTCAAAATAAAAAGTGAATCGCTTAATATTTTTGTTGTGGAATCAATTAATTTCTTTCTTTAAAGGCAAAAACATGAAAAAGCTAAGAAAAAAAATATTGAATACAATATATTTGGAGCAACTTAATTTATAAATGGTTGTCAACTTAAAAGCGTGTGTTCACAATGATGGTAATTAAGTACATACAACTTAAAATTCCTTTTAAATCATACGGTAAAAAAAGTTGGAGCAACTCGATTTTTGGAGTAATCAACTTAAAAACTTGTATCCCGAATGAGGGTAATTAAGTACATACAACTTAAAATTATTTTTAAATCATGTGGTAAAACTAGTCGGAACAACTTAATCTTTTGAGTAATCAACTTCAAAACTTGTGTTTATGCTACCAATTATTAAGTAAGTGGTAATTAAAAACACCTCTGATTGTAGAGGAAAAGCCTTCTCCCCTAACTCAAATAACTTTGTTGCTTTAAGACAATTTCATTAGAAGTTGTCTTAACTCAATAAACATTGATGCAAACTGTTGCGTTGATTTTCTTTGTTGAGCCAAGGCATTTGTTTTTAGAGTGTACCACTCTCATGGCTGTACTGTAAACATGAAGCTAGCAGCTAGCTCATGCTAAGCTTAGTGCTAATGCTGGAGTTAAGTGCCTGACACAGTCAGTTTTCCGAATCAATTGAAAACAAAATAAAAAGTGGTCATTTGTTTTTAGAGATGCTGATGGGATGATTTTGATGCCTTTGGAGCAGGCTGGATATTTCCTTGTGTTTCCTGTTGTTATGTTAAGCTATAGCTAATTGTACTTGTACGAGGGTTTGCAATCTTCTTCAAATTTGGAAAACATCAATAACAGTTGCATAGTAGCTTAAAAAAGTTTGATGCATGTTAAAACAATCCTAATATTTTCTCACCTGAGTTGGGCTGTTTGTTTTTGCCAGGTCGCGCCGACTCTTGGCCGTCTTCTGACTGAACCTCCAGCAAATAGGAGCCACGGGCCTCACGATCAAACACAGCTTCTGTGTAGATGGTCCCAAGTGTTGGGTCTATGCGGAACAGATGGTGGTCCCCGCTGCTGTCAATCAGCAGGGAGTAAGTGATCTGTGGAGCACAGGGAATTTGAAAATCAAGCCACAGTATTCTTTCAAGCAAAAACCTGCAGAAATAGGACATATTAAAGGCTTTGAAGGTGAAAATGACAGGAGCCATCTGTCATATACCCCATCTGTCTTCTTATTACAGAAAAAACTAGATCGATACTCCGTCCCACTGATATTATCACAATCAGTTACTCATTTCCTCTGCACAGTTCCCAATAGCACCTTTACAAATCTGGAACAAAGGCTTCCGCACAGGAGGGATTAAGTTATGACATTACAGAAAACTTCTTGTCTATTTCTTTGAAGATCTCTATATTGTTTTGCACCTTCACAATATAACAAGATATGCAAAACCACAAACCTCTCCATTCAGACCCAGGTCTTTGTCGTGAGCGGACACTTGTAGAACCGAAGTCCCTATCTGAGCTCCTTCTGTTACTGAGGCCTCGTAGATGGAGGAGGTGAAAAATGGCACGTTGTCATTGACATCTTGGGAGAGAAGAGAGATTTAGTAGCAAATTGATAATGTGTTAATTTCCAGATAGTAATTAGGTCATACATTCTCCGGCATCCAAAGGTGTAGCCTCCGTAACAGCACACATAAAATATTTAGTGTCTTAAGTGCAACACAACACATCTTATTGCAGATGACCAGGGGAACATTCTGGATGCTGAACTTGTTCACCTGCAGATGAACCCAGCATTATACTTAACAGCGGAAAGATAATCAAATTGTCATTTTAAGAGTTAACATGGTATTTTTATAAATGTTTTTTTAATTTAACAAATAATTAAATCATCCATCATTCTCTCACTGTTGAATTAATTATACAAATGTGATTAAAGTGAACATTGCCAAAAACACACTTAAATCTGAAAGTTCAAGAATATTAATAAAAACTAGCTATGGGAATAAAGTCTGACAATTTCAATTTGACACCAAATAACAAAGATAGCTAAGTGAGAATATTACTAATCACACCTGTAATGTTGATATAAACTGTAGTGAAAGCTGCGAGAGGCACGGCAGCCACGTTCTGTGCTCGAACCCGGAGAGAGAAGACGGGTGTGGTCTCATAGTCCAGCGGCTCGGACACCAGAATGGACGCAGTGCCGTCTTCGCGGTTGGGGGAGAGGTAGAAACGGACCGGCATGTTGGTTTCAGGCACCATCCCATCCTCCAGGTTATAGGTCACCCTCGGGTCACCCAGCCGAGAGGTCGCCTTGATTGTCTGAATTAGATGACAAGTAAAATGTATAGCTGAAGGCCTGAATACAATTTAAAGTAGAGAAAGCCTGATACACATATGATGGGAAACCCACCCTTAGCTGAAAGCAGGGGCGGACTGGGGGGAAAAAGTGGCCCGGGGATTAATTGACAGACAGGCCCACTTAATGCGCTGCATGTATCGGCCGGCCGGCGACGAAAGTATGGTACTTAACAAAAAACCCTATGCATTTTATGTTATTTTGGACAATTATTCATATAGGAATCACATTACCTGAGCCCTTGAGTTGCCTAGAGCAAAATAGTTACAGCATATATTTAGTGATTTTAATGTTAACAGATCATTGATACAATAACATTTTGACCCAATTTGCCTGACTTGACACATGGAATAAAACATTGGGCGTAGGAAGCATCCTCAATGTGGGTGAGACAATTTAACAGGGGGTTGTGGGCAGGCTGGTGGACCTCACCACCTCTAGGGGGTCGCGGGGGCAAGCTCCCCCGGGAAGATTTTTTTTTTTAAATGTTGAAGTTAAAGAAACTCCCGGTATTCCCAATGGCCAGTCCGCCCCCCTGGCTGAAGGGTTAAAAAGCCTTTAGTCCATAACAGAGGTGACCGAACTGTCTCAACATCTTTCCAAGTCATCCCTCTTGCTTTGAAAAATAGTTCCAACTTTTTTGGGGAAATAACTTATAAAACTTCACAAAGTGGGGGGAAAAGTAAGCTTAGCATAAAGACTCACGCTAGCTCTGCTGACATTGGCCTAGTCCATTTTTGTGTTAATGACATCCAAATTGTTAACGCTGCAGCACATGAAAAGAAGAAGTATAAGTGTTTGTATAAGTAGTTTCAGCTTTGACACAACCAGGTAAAGCTGTTTCTCCGTTTCTCTGTTAATGCTAGGCATGCTAATCGCCCTCAGAGCTCTGGTGTCATGTTAAATACTTATCTGCTTTAAGCTGTCTAACCCAAACAAAAGAAAGGTATTATTCTGATCATAAAGAAAAACTTTCATGCCACGAATTGGATGATACCAATTCTTATGTCAGGAACTAAGAGCTAAGAAGCGATTGGCTTAGCCTAGTGAACACAAATGGGACATCTACCTGACAAAATGTGTTCATTTCTGAAAATTACACCTGGTGGTAGTATTTTTAAACCTTGGTTAGAGCCAGTCCTGATGCTGAGCCAAGCTAACCAGCCACAGGCTGTAGTTTCATAATTAACACTCATGAGAGTGGTATCAATCATCCAACTCAAGAGTTGACAAGAGAGCAAATAAGGGTATATTTTAAATGTTTTCAAGGTATAAAAATTGTGTTTTCAGTACGTCAGGTATCATTTGTCTAGTGACAGGCTTGATTCAAATTAGGACAGACTGTTTTAATGGTTTATAGCTGAGGGAAGCAAAGGCTTGTCAAATACATATTACAATTGTTTTGTGATTAATTATCTGAGTCAAACATATTCTCAGAGCCCTGAAATCACCTCATATCTGGAAGTGAATCCCCTTTTTGAAAACCTTAGGCAGAAAAGGAGGATTTTGTGCTGTACAGTTTGACAGCAATATTATTTCTCACATCAAAGGAGACGTTTGGAATAGTTTTAATAAGCCTGGAGTCATAAAACTTGCTTAGCACATGTGATCCAATGTCAGCTTTCTTCTAAAACATCAAACTAAAACACGTTTACAGATTTTACAGCATGCTGACAAGCTACCAAAGGTGTATGTTGAGCACAAAGAGAACACGCTGTCTGAATAACACTGTGCACTAATCCAGGAGAGTAAGCAAACAAACATTCAGCTGATTCCAGATGGAAAGAGATAGAGGATAGAGGTGCCAAATCTACAACATACAGTATGTGCTCATATACAGTGTTCCTCCAATCATAGCACAAGCATAATTCAGTTTAAAAGGATGTATAGAAACACTTTTTTGGAAAAATATGAGAATGAAGAAAGGTGATTGAAGATGAGAAATGATTGTATATGTATGTATAAATGTAAATGTATGTAAGAATAACTTGCATAATGATTTAAAGGACAATCATTGATCAAGTAAGGGGTTGGNATTAATAAGCATTTGCTTCCTCCTACTCCCTTTCGGACACATATGATTTATTATTATTATTAATATGAAGACTTTTTTTATTTATTTTTTTAATATACAAATGTTACCATGAATGTGGATAAATACTGTATTTAACAATACGGTATTCGGTTTTTCACATTTTTAATCTGTTCAAAATAAAGACTGAAAATGAAAAAATAGCCACACGTACCACTATATGTGTGTCCCTTGCAGAATTTTCCGGAATGACGACGCTGTAGCTGTCCGTCTCCCACTGTGGAGGCTGGTTCTTCACGTCGGTGATGGTGACCGCCAGCTCCACAGAAGTGTTACGATTCCCCCCGTCCGTAGCTATGATGTCCCGCGTGATGTAGGTTGTCTGTAACAATCAGTCACTAAAAATGATTATCATGGTATTTAGAGCTGAAAAGATAAACTGATGAACACATTGTCGACGGAAAATTAATTAGCAACTATCAAATTATACACAGCTCTAATTTCAGTAAAAATTATTGAGACACTCAGCGTGATCAGCCTTTGCATTAACTACATTTAAAAAAAAAAATCATTTAATTAGGTGTTAATAGAACAACAGAGGAAGCAGTGTGAGCCTTACACAAAATGTATTAAGCTATAATTCAGGTTGCACAAAAGCTCCTCTACTTTTGTAATTGTGCTATAATTGAACTGCCACGGAAATAAGGGGGTACATTTGACCGAGGAACTGTTTTTCATCAAGGTGGACAATGCAGGGATAGCACATTTCCTTAACAGGTCATTAGAGTATTTCATTCTGTTTATCTACTGTATAGTGGACAATGGGTAACATCCACATTAGACTCACATCAGGGAAGAAAAGAACCTCTAACAGGGTCTCTTTATGGCCACCCTAGGAAATTCCATTCTTCTAGTAAAAGGTAATGCAAGTCACAGTCACACCACTTTGTTAATGAAAAACTGCTCAAATAATAAATTCAACATTTCAGCCATCAGCTGCATTATTCTATCAATAGAAATCCTGGCCTAGCCACTCTTTTGTTGGCTTCTGATAAAAAAGAAATCTCACTTAAGTATAGGAATTCCATTTTCTATGCCTGGGACAATCCAATTAGTGTTTGTGAACAAGTACAACTCTTTTCTCAAAGCTTGAAACCAGAGAACAAAGATTGTAATCTGTGAGGTCCAACATGGACTCAGCAGCTGCTGCTTTTACAATAAATGAATGAATGACTGTCTTTGTGGTAACATTCTAACAAGGTTTTAAATTCAATTTGTAGGAAGAGTGTCAGATCTGAACCAGAACATAACCATTACATATTCTGAATGTGGTAACAGCAACCATTCTCTGCGGAGATGTACTGTAGTGTATGTTGAGGCTGGCTCTGGCTGTGCTGGAATAAGACTCACTGTTGTCTAATGCTGTTTCCTTCAGGTTCTACTGAAGTCAATGGGGAACCATACTGCACACTTGAAGTGTTGTGTGCAAATATAGCCTATATGTATTCACTCTAATCAGAAACTGTAATGAAAAATGTAAATAGAACAATGCATCTGACTGAGACATTTAACATTTAATGAGGTGCTTTTACAATCTTAGTTGTAATCTTAGTTCAAACTTACATTGAAAGGATTGGCGGATGATTCCAATAGCTTCTGAAACCGTGTTTAAATATGCAACAGCTTTGTTGAGCGAGGTTTTGGGCTTAACATTTTTAATTTTGCATGAAGTCCACTGCAGGATTTCTGGAGGATTATAACACTACTGCGCTAAAAAGCATGTTAAATATTGAACGGTTCTATAGTGCTTTATCAAGTTTCTAGCCAAAGAACAACTACATTTGAATAAGTGGAAGACACAAACACGATGAAAAGTGCTGATAGGCTACAGCAAACATCAAAGTTGACAACACACCTATCAAAACGTAGAAATGGGTTACATCACTGAAGTTTTGACTCGGTAAAACACTTGCAGTACGTATTTGTGGACAAACATCAACTAGACAAGGACAACCTGCTAATAGTTATAGCTAGTATTCATGTTGGAAATAATAATTTATACGACTTAAAGCTGGAAGGGCACTCGCTGGGTAAAGACCTCTGCCAAGGCCAAATGCCTCACAATGTTAAAATAACTAATGTCCTCGCCCATGATTCTCCTCCAAATAGCTCTTCCTTGGCCGATGCTACACCCTTTGATAAAAATCAAGCCAGTAGTTTTTCCTTCTAAGCTGACAAAGAAACCAAACTGAAAACATAACCTCTTTGGCAGAGGTAAACAATGACCTTTCAGGTATTTGTGCTTTGATCAAATGCATAATATTCAAGGTGCCAATTCGTTTCAGTTAATTCCCTTAAAATACAAGAGTCATCTAAAGCTGCTGCAAGCTGTCAGTCTTCCTATTAAAACCTCAGATGATAAACTAAAATGAAATAGCTTCGAATCTGTATATCAAAGCCAGAATACTGAAGATGGACAACGGGTCGTGCTTTGTAATAATTAGCTTCTTAAAAACCTGTGCCATACACTTTAAGATAGTCATTTTCTTCTAGGAGCTTTTGCCGATTTATGCATATTTAACGAATACTTTTTAATATCAGTGCAATGGACAGAAGTGCAGTCATCAAATATATCCACAGGAATCCCATGCAGCTCAAAAAATGTGTTTCATTTGTTTGCCTAAATTAGTCTCCCTCCGTGGTCTTTTATGGTCATTCCACATGCAGCACCTCTGGGAGTACACACCCCAGATTGGGAGTAGCAGACAGAAGCAGAGGTGGCTTATTCATTAACTTTATTGACACAGAGCCAAGGGCCAGACATGTGAGACTGTGTGTGTGTGTGTGTGTGTGTGTGTGTGTGTGTGTGTGTGTGTGTGTGTGTGTGTGTGTGTGTGTGTGTGTGTGTGTGTGTGTGTGTGTGTTTGCTAGCTGACAGAGAGCCTGCTGAACACTGCTGACTGACCTGTGAGATGGGCTGATTAACGAAGACCCATCCAGTGACAGGGTTGACCCTCAGGTACTCAGGAAGCTCCAGGGACATGGAGTAAGTGATAGCTGCATTAGTTCCAAAGTCATCATCGTGAGCTGCCACGCGAAGGAAACTGGTACCGACCAAAGTGTCTTCTCTCAGAAAGTCTACAGACGACAGAAATAATGCATGTGCACTCAGTTTGCCGGACAAATAGGTAGAAACCTCACAGGGAAGGGTAAGATCCTGCATGAGGGGTGTTATGGACGTCGTTATTATGCAAAACTAATTTGGGTTATTGCCATGGTATGTTTTATGTCTATTTCCAGTTTTAACACTGAGATACTCATTAAGCAGCCGAATGGATGGTATAAATGTAGAGGCCTATTTACCGCCACACTCTAAAACACATCCTCAATTAAATGTAATTACTAAAGTAGAAGAGGAGCCCCTTTTCCATCATCCCTTTTTTTCTTTTTAAAGGAATACTTCACCTCAAATGAGGCATGGGAGATTACAAAGTATTCTTCAAGATTTAAAGGTAACACTGGAGGGGAAATTGATATACAGTATAGAAATTGTGAAGGTGAATCACTCCTTTAAGGACCTAGTAACGGCCTTGCTTAACTATACTCATTTTAATTTTACAGCTGTACCATCATCTATAATTTTGATCACTTACACTCATAGCGCAAATTCTCAAACTTGGGGCTGTTATCATTCTGGTCCACTATTTGGATGGTGAGCTGACAAATTCCGATGAGCGGCTCCTCCGCCCAATCAGTGGCCGTTACTGTAATTGAATACTCTCTCTGCCGCTCCCTGTCGAAACGCCTGGCTGTCACAATCACTCCTGTGAATACAGAAGAAAAAACCCGGTCCCCCGGCAGACAAACACACATGAAGTCTTGTATATTCATCCACCCATTCAGCAATTCTCCAATCCACCAATCAATGCATGCATTCAACCATCCATCATTTCATCTTGCAACCGTAGATATATCCATTTAACCATCCACCCATAGTTCAAGAAAACAAGTACACATTTTCTTCTGAACAAGTCAATAATCTTTTTTATGTGCAGTGGTTTTCTTATTAAATCAAGAGATACAAAAAATAGGGAAGCCATTAAAGAAAAATGAGTGACAGAATAACATGTGTTCAGACTTCTAAACATCTTCCCTTCGTTATGTGTTGTCAATTTCATCACGTCCATCTTGACCAAATTAACAGAATAAGGATGATATTTTGGCATTCTTGAGAATACCAAGCATACACATTTCATGTCCTGTTAGATCACAGTTCTACTTGAAAGTTAAATTAGAGTTGTCATTTGCATAAAACTCAGCTCTATCTTTGCTAAGGTAACTCTTGGCTCTAATTGAGAGCTATTTTAGCACAGACAATGCGTGACCGCTCTACCTGTGTCTTGATGAATTCTGAAGGCAGGCATGGCGCTGTCTCTGTGCATTAAGCCATATTTGACTTTTCCATTTGCTCCCTCATCTGCATCCGCCGCATGCACTTGCAACACAAAAGTCCCCGATGGCTGGTTCTCTAGCACTGTAGCCTGCTCACGATATTGCTGGCACTGAGATAGAGACAGAGAGGGGGAGAGAAAGAAGTGAAAGGAACACAGATACAAAGAACACTTATCATATGTGAGACTATGTAGTGAGAGTACATTAAAGAGAAAAGAGGGATCAAAGGAAATAAATCATTATATAGAAGGTCAATACCATTACGCACACATGAAAACAATATGGGGAGTTATAGATGGACAATAATATCAATGGCAAACAACACTTGCGTTGATTTCTTTTGAAGAGCCAACATTGCACAGCTTTGTCTAAACCAGGAATTCAATCCATTCCCCCTAATGAACGTATGCCCCAGATAAAGAGCAGCTCTCTGGAGACTTTCTTTTTGAATTCACACATAGATGCTAGCTACTCTTTCAACAGAATGACCATGAATAAAGAAAAACAATAGATAGGAGGAGCGTGAGCGAACCAGAGGGAGGGAGACGGATCAAAGCATGTGAGTAAGGAGAATAATGAAAGGGTTCACAGGACGTGATGGCACACACAGTATGGCCTGAAGGTAGCTGTTCATAAAAATCACATAATATCAAACATAAGGTCATTTTAGAACAGATGGTTCTGAGGCGTTACTTGATATTTAAACACATCAAGTTGCCAAGACTTCAAGCCCACACAAGAAAGAAAAAACCTCCGCTGAGAATGCCTCCTGCTGAAGTTCAAGTCATTCCTAATTAAGGAGGAAGTTAATTAAACAGGTATAGTATATTGTGATGATATTGCACTTTTTTTTCATAAATTAATTGAAATCCCAATGGAGCGCCTAAAGATAGAGTGGGTGTGCGGGCTAATCAGAACTCCTGGGAAAACAGAGCGAGAGAGACGAAGGCCAGGGAAATGAGAATACATTGGCAAAAAAATAAAGCTGGAGTGGGATGAGGAGAGGGAGGAAGGAGTGATCAACGGAGGAACAACTGAAGTGCTCCGAGAGGATGAGCCAGACAGGCAGAGGCGAGGAGACAATATTGTGTAGGCACATTGTTTGAATTGAGGCAAAACAACTGACTGTCAGCTATTTAGAAGAATTCAGGTTGACAGCAATGTCTACAACAACAACAAAAATAAGGCTTTAGAAACGTTCAAGATTTTAGAAATGTTCCTATTTGCTTTCTGTCATATCTACACGGTTTATTTGTAAATCGAGCAAACAAAAGGTTAGATGTGCTAAGATTTAAAATAGACAGAAACAGCCAGCCTGGCTCTAAAAGGTAACACAATATGTTTCCTGAGCTCACAACGGATCAGAATCAGACACATGTTTATTGCCAAGCAGAAAAACACATACAAGGAACTGGTCTTGGTGTACATGGTGCATACATGAACACAGTTAAAGAAGTAACATAAAAAGTAAGAAAAACAACCAACAAATCTGGATATACCAAAAAAACAATGTGCAGCATACTATTGCAAAGTACTATTGTACTAAGTAGTATCAAATATGTAAAGTATTGTTTTGGAAGGTTGTAGTATGGCACTTGATACTTACAACTTGTTTCTTGTTCCAAAAGGTTTAATTACTGAGATTTAGAGGTGCTGATAGGTGGATTTTGTCACTTTTCGACAGAGCCGATCTAGCTGTTTTCAACTGTTTCCAGTATTTATGCTAAGCAAAGCAACTTGCTGGCAATTTTCATGAGTGGTATTGATCTTCTGAACATACTCACAACAGGAAAAAAACAGGAGTATTTCAAATATTGTCTTAAAAATAACTGAAAATGTATAAAAAGGGAAAGTCTTATTTCTTTGTTGAAATAATGCTCATCATGAATTTCTGAGAATAAGACCCAGGTTGAAAAGTATGAGGGTGTCAGTTAAAAAAACATATCCTTACCTCCCCAAAAACAGGTTTGTTGTTGTTGACATCATCAACTCCCACAATGACTCGAGCGCTTGAGAAGAGAGCGTGTGACCCGCCTGATGCATTGTCATCTGTGGCCGTTACATTCAAGACGTACTCCAGGCCTTGAAGCTTGGGCAGGGGAATGGAGCGGAGACGAATCAATCCTACAAAGAACGCAAGTCCATTAAATTACACATTATAAAACAGGGTCCCTCATAACATAGCCATACAACCATTCCTTTAGTCATTGGGCAGGATGTTATTGCCACTGTGGCCTTGCATGGTGACGGATGTGCTATCAATAAAAACACACAGCCTGTTTTTGTTGCAGAAATCCAGGGGTAGATAGCGAGTTGTGGAAAATCACCTCAGAAGTCCACAGAAAGGTAACAAATCGAAATGCAGACTAAATCCAAAAACCAATTTCACAGTGGTGAGTTTGTCACATTTCTAATCTAATAATTGTATGCTCTCCCCTAAAGATGCCCATCGAACTCACGCACTTGAGTGAAAACATAAAGTATTAAGTGACTCGGGTTAGAAGTTAACCAGGCTCAGCATAAGCCTATTAGCTGTTCCTTTACCCCCCGCCCCACCTCCACTCTGTCTGCTTTCATGTAACAGTCAAGATATAAGGTGGGATAAAAAGAAGCAGCATCTGAGTCAACATCTTTCCTCGTCAACAGTAATACAAAAACATCACAGGTTGCAGGACCGACACGCAGCCTGTGATGTGGGGGAAACTCATTGAAGCGAGAGCATAGGGACATTTTATTTATTTTGTTGTGTTTCTATTCATCTCTTTCAATGCGCTTGATTAAAGACAACACAGCGTGCTGTTACACACAGATGCGAGTGCCTGGCTTCCCCTCTCTCCCAATTTACTTGTGATCCCTATGAGCCCGGGGAGCAGAGAAGGGTAGCTCCTAATGACAATGCATGACGTTGACAGCACTGCACCACTGCATTAAAATTAAGTGAAGTGTTGGATGTACACACGGTAATTCTCCCAGCTTAAATGTCAACCTTGTTTACAAATGCGACATGAGGTAAAGCATCTATTTCAATGAGCCAGCACTCTTCGAATATATACAGTAAGTGGGAAACCATATAGTGGTTTTTTCCCCCGCACCCACAGGATATCAGCTTTGGCATTTCTCTTGCTCTGAGGATACACAGAAAGGGTGGAGAGGAATATAAAAAGACGGCACAAAAGAAAGAGCAGCTGACAGAGCGCAGCCTGGAGATTGTGAGCTATGATAGAGCAGTTGTTGTGAAATTGAATTGAAAGGGTTGGGTGACAAATGTCACAGTGATTGCAACTGGTTTCGGATCAAAGGGTGAATAAAAAAGATAAACTGTGCAGTCGCCAATGTTAGAAAAGCTCTGAAACATCCGAAACATTCCTTTATGTACCCGCAAAAAAAAGTGTGGAAATGTCCCGAATAATGTCATCGTTTATATTTATGTCCCGAAACGTCATTCGTATTGAAATTAACATTCAAATCAACTTTCAAATTTCTTCCTTAAATTAACTTTGAAAGACGAGTGCGTTCATTGCACAACCCTATAGCAGGAAATAATCAGCGGGAAATGAATGTGTGATTTGACAGGAAGAGTGAGAATTACAGTGAGAGCTGCAATGTATGAGGCCCGGCCGGAAAATGAAGAAGTATCACCTTTCTGGCTGTCAATGACGAAGTTTCCCTCCTCGTTTCCTGCTGTTATGGAGTAGATTATACCATCGCCATCTGGGTCTTTGGCCAGAACTGTGGCGACCAGAGTATTGGGCCCAGCGTCCTCGGAAACAAACGTTCGGTATCTGCAAAATGGAGAAAAATTTGAATCCAACCTCCTATCTTTCCCAACACGAACCAGTCACCGGACCTGGGGGGGGCAGAGCCCATCGCTGCCCCCTCCCTCTGGAACTCACTCCCACAACAAATAGGAAACTGCACTGACCTCCCGGCCTTTAAAGGTCACCTATTATGCAAAATCCACTTTTATACATCAACATGTGTCCCCTCTGTGTAAAGAGATTCTGAAAGTTTCAGGAAAAAAGATTCACTAACTTTTTGTCCTGATCCATTTATATAAAAACCTTTCTGAAAGAGAGCTGATCAGATTTTGGAAACTTTATGATTTCATAACGTTTTTTTGGCCAATAACCAATCAAGGTAACCCCCGCCACCTTATCACCTGAATCTCCTCCGAGAGCAGTGGTTCTCAACTGGTCAGGCCTCAGGACCCACTTTTTTCCTTTTTCAATAAATCGCGACCCAAAATTTTGAAGCACTCAAATCTATTCAACAAAAATCGTGCTGTAATATATATACGCTTTGCAGCATACACGATTAATTAAAGTGAAGTACAGTGCATATCAGGGCAGGAATTTCACGAGGGCCACGAGGGCCATGGCCCTCCCATTTTGGCCTTGTGCCCTTAAAAATGATATCTGCCATAAGGCCACAGTGGCCTTGATGCCCTCTCTGACTAAGTTTTGTGGTTTAGCAGTCTGCCTCTTTTCTGACACGGCTTCAACACCAGCATATTTTGAAGGAGGAAAAAAAAATCAGCGGTGCGCTTGATTTGAGCCTGGAATGCACCGCTCGGACGGTCTATGACAGAGGTCGGCAACCCCTGGCACGCGTGCCAGTATTGG